GGAGACCCAAAAAGGTGCGTAAAGGAACACTTTTCTATACTCTTAAACAAACGCGAAGTGACGTGATGCAAATTAAGTTATCCCTATCATAAAAACAATTGATGAGATCTTGGTATCTGATTAATCTAGTTTATAACTAGCAAGGAAAGGTGTGATGCGGCGATACTAATGGGAATTCTTTTGCAGGTTCTCTGTCCAGTAGTATCCAGTCAATCGAGGGTTCCGGACTGAATTCCTCCTAATTTTGCGGGTAAGTGTAGTCAATTTTCCGCAAATGTCCACTCGGGTTTTACATGATGTTATTTAGTTATCCCTATCATAAAAAAGTTGATGATAACTCAGGTATCTGAGCAATTTTGTCCACTTTCAAGCTCAACCTGCCCTAGTTTGGGTTTAACTAAGAACCATTTTGTATTTCCAGGTGGTGGAGCTGGGTAACATTGAGAACCATCAGCAACAGCACTGACCAAGGTAAGTGTTGGTTAAAGCTGCTAAAGAATTGCCAACAGATTTTGTCATGATGATCACAATTTATATACGCTATTTTGAGCTGAACTATGAAAACCACTTGCCCTCACTGAACCGCTCAAATCAGCCCCTTTTTAGTGGGCGAAAGTTACTGCTTCGTTCAACGTTTTTTTTTTGTTACAGGCACCACACGAGGGAGGCAACAAACAAAAGTAATTTCTGATTTTCTACGTAGATTAGCACCAAATTTTCCTTAGTTATAATGATGCTTCAAATATACGCTATGAATCATTTGGTGATGTCATCTAAGTTCTGAATGATGCTTTAAAGTTTTTGTATAGATTAGTGGAAATGCTGGCCGTTGTTATAAAAGAGATTCTTTTCCAGGGCGCACCTTTAGCCGATGTTCCTCTTCATGGCGTTTGAAATGATAAATAAATGACTCAAATGTATCATTGTGTTTTCTTATATTCTACAGGGTGTTCGGGATCACACCACAACAATCCCAAATGCAAGTGAAACCGGCGTTGGTTTGGAAAATGACTTAGGTTTGCTACCTGCGCTTATCCTCCGGGTAATCCTTTGTTGTTTATAGGATTAACTAGCGAAGGGCAATTTCTGTTAAAGTAGCAAACTGGGATTAACTTGAAACCGAGCAATGGTAGCGTTAAAATTTAATGAAACTTCCAATAATCCTTACAATCTAGACTAATAGACAATAAAACCCTTCTTCGACAACAAGTTCACTTACTCGCGTCCTTATTGGTCATCTTTCTGATCAGCACATCGAATGTGATGGCTAGACGGTCAACGGCCTCCTTGTTCTCGGCATAGGCCTGACTTTGCAGCGCGGAAAACACACAAGTGAGGATCATTTTCGTAGAGTTGAGCAGCGTGTTGCTGGCGTCGATCTCGGGCATCAGAGCGATTTCGCTCAGCTCGAAGCAAACGTATAGAACCTGGTTGCACTGTTTCGGATCCTTGTGCCAGTCGACGTTGCGTGTGTAGGCCTTGAAGGCCCGCTGGAAGCGCTGCGCTTTTAAAGCGGCAGTCGGCGCGACTTTAGCGTACAGATCCCACATAATGCCCTCGCCTGGATGGATCGAGACTACTCTACCTGCAAGCCGTTCAAAATGGGATTTAGCCCTATTCAACATGGTTGGAGGAGTGGTGGACTTACCAAGCAGCTCGCGCGTTTTCTGTAGAAACCTGGCGGCTGGCAAGCCTTCGCAGTCGATACTGTTATCGACTACGTCGCAGACTAGTTCGCCCAGAACGTGGATGTTGATGTATTTCTCTTTGAGATCCAGCATGCGATGATACGCCCTGATTACGTCGAAGTACATCGAAATATCCGAACTTACTATCAGGAAGTTCTCCCAAACCTAGAAAGTTGCTGGTTTTCTCTAGTCATTCTAGGACGTGCAGTTCAATTACCTTCCAGTTCTCGTAGTTGCACTTGAGGGCCTCGGAGAGCGCCTGATGGGCGCTGCGCTTGTTCCCGATTTTCAGGTAGGCCTGCGCCAGATTGTTCCACGCCTCGAAGCCATCAGGCTCCAACGTGGTGTAACGCTTATATGCAGTGGCCGCCACTTGCCAGTTTTCTGTCTGATGCGCTGCGAATCTGCAAAACAGCCCGCAATCAAATAGGTGCTGGTCTTTTGACGCCGGACGCTTACCCCAAACGAAACCACACATTGGCTTGCAGCGGATTAATCGACACGCTTTTCTCGAAATGCGGAATGCAGTCCGCATAGTTTTTCTTAGCGTACAGATGGTTGCCCCAGTGGCGCTGCGCCCGATGGCTGCGCCTCTTCGACAGCTCCCAAGCCTTCTCGTAGCATGTGATATCATCAGTTGCGTCGCCTGTAATTGTTACAGCCGTTAAAAGCGCGCTTTTGCCACCGATGTAGCATACCTAAAAGACACAGGAGTTTCACAGTGGGTTTCTTCTCCAGCTGTTGAGCGATCACTTCGGCAGCTTTGTGCCGCTGGTTCATGAGGGTGTAGCAAACGATGACCTCCTCCCATAGCTGAAGCTTCAAGTAAAGATCCAGGGCGTTTTTGGGCAGGCCAATGTTGAGCAGCAAGTCGGCGTACTCGATGGTCACCTAAAGCAAGCGTTTATAGTCTTTTAGACTGATGCCAAGCGGCAGGTTGGACGAGGTTGTACCTTCCACATGGCAGGCAAGCCGCTTCCAAAAACATCGTGGAATCTGTCAAATGCCTCCGGTTGGTCCTTCCTGAAGGCACTCAACACTTCTTCGCATTGTCTCAGGGCCCGCTCCACAGTTCTTCTGTTTTTCGACTCTGCTCGGCACCTGCACAGGATTCGGATGCAGGGATGTTTACACACAAGGGAAACCTCCTTACCTCAACAACAGGGAAACTACTCGCACACAAAACGTGTTTTTCTGGGCTAGGATGGATTCGACGAACGGCAGAATTTCCTCATGCTGCAACTCGTCCGCCGGTTTGGAAATCAGCATTTGTTGAACGATGGTGAGCATCAGCTTTTGGCTGATGTTGGATAGAACCAGATTCTCGTTCACGTTCTTGGATAGGGCGACGTGGTCCAAGCGCACGTCGTCATTTAGGGGCAGATTTTTCGGTAGCACCGCATCGTCCGTTGTGAGAAAGGTGTCGATTGTGTTTGTCTGCTGCTTCTTCTGTTCGAATTCGCATTCCCCGTCGCACTGGCAGCTCATGGGGTGGGGATTCTCGTCGCTGCTGCCCGATTTTTGCGCCTCCGTTTCTACAACCCATTCAATCAGATTTGGTTTACGGATAACAATGCGAGGGATTACCGTTGAGCGACACTTTGAGAGCCAGCTGAGGAATCTCTTTCTCTTGATGCCTGGTTCTTTTGCCAAGAATTCCCACGTATTCGTAGTTGAGGTCCATCAGTTTCTTGGCCGATTCAATGTGGCCGTTGGCCTTTCCAACTAGTCGGAATAACAGGTAGAGCTGCGCTATTTCTATGTCGAGAGCTGCTTTAGTGGCCTCGAAGAATGAGCGGCCCGTTGCTGCAAAGAATGAAATATTTTTTAACGAAAAGCACTGTGGGAGGCCTTCAAAGTTTTCAAACCTTTGATTTTGAAGTTGGACATGAGTAGTTTGTATAGCCGATCAGCGTCCGATAATAGCGATGGGCTCAGCTCGTCCAGAATTTGCTGGTGGAGGTACAAAGCCCTCCAGTACCACCAAATGTTGATTATGCTGTTCACTATGCACCATTCGAAGATGATTTTGGCTGTCGCCTAAAATCGCATTTTCACGTTAATCATTTGCTTCCAAGCGAAGTGCTTGTTGTGCACTTACCAGTAGCTGGGGAAATTCGGTTTTGCAGTTGATCTCCTCGTTGTTGTAGCTGAGCATCTTGTGAAAGTCCTGTTTCTTGAACATGTCTTGCTTGAGAAAGTTCACCACCTTCTCGCAAGGATGGGGCCCGGTGAAGTTCGCTTGTGTAAACGTAATTAAACAGGACATCCCAAACTGCAATGTTAAACGCGTTTTGTCGCATAAGGCTTCATGTGGGGGCTCAGTCCTACCTTGAAAATCTGGCATCTTTCTTGATCGTCCTTAACATTTAGGCGGCTCTTGATGTCCGCGATGTCGTACTGCTCGTCCAGGAACAGTTTCCAGATGTCCTCGTCCAGCATCAGGTTTTGCAGGCTTTCGAACGTTGTTTTCAGCTCCTCCCGAGCCAATTCCTTCTCACTTTCCTCCACGCTTTTAGCCACCAGCAGGTACTCATGCAGCAGGCCCGCTATGTCGTCCATGATGCGCTTGGGTGTTCCACTCAGTAATTAGGGCGAATTGGAAAAAACGCCACACATAAATGCCTCTAATAACACAAAAACGGCAATGTGAGGTTATGAATCGGGGATATAGAATTGAAGAGAGATGGCCTATGGAATTGGAGCAGCGTTGCCGGCAGTAATGGTTTTCGTTAGAAATTTGCTTGGGGAAAAGGCCCGATAAATGTTGGCACGTGTAAAACGGTCTTTGACAAGTGTCTGGCAAAAATGTGGGCTGTACGAACAAGTGCAAAATGCAAATGAGATTTGAATTAAACCTCTGAAGGTTTCCTGAAGATGATTCAAATTTGAAAGGTTTCCATATAAAAAGCAGGCTTTGCCCTACAAATGCGACTGTTTGGCGTCTCGAGTTCCTGAGCAAATAAATGTCGTAGTTTGAACTGTTTAAACCCTGCAAAAATCACTGGCAGGTTTGAACAATGCCTGAAATTGCCCGATGATGACTGCAAATCGAAACTTTGTCCATTCTGTTGGGAAGGTTGGCAACGCTGCCTGGTTGAGCTGCAGGAACAGAAGTTTAATTGTCACGATTACCGGCCGGGTTTGCGCGGGAATTTTGAATTTGTAAAGACGGCGAAAAATACACCGGGGTGATTCAATAATATGTACTAAATGTAATAAAGACACACAAAAAAAGAGTGTTGCAATCAGTTGACTAGATGTGCTCCTGCTCAGTGGTGGGTAGTTTATCACCGGAGTTCTTCAGCAGGTTCACGTGCAGCTGGTAAGCGCTCCCGAAACAATGGGAGGGTTGCAGTTGAGGACATATTTCATGCAGGACTTTGTAGTCTTTGTCGCTGATCACAAAGGCCTGCCAGCCGCAATTTTTCGCCGCCACGTAGTCCAAGTAGGGCTGATCCCCGATGTGAAGACACTGCTCGGGCTTCAGATCCTCCGAGCCCGCTTCCTTGCGAGCCAGATCGAAGATCCGGCGGTCCGGCTTATGAACCCCCACCTGGTAGGACGTGAGCACGAATTTGAAGTAATGCTTCAGCTTGGTGTTGACCAGAATGGCATCCAATCGGGGGTCGTAATTGCTGATCACCCCCATGGGGATATTCTTGCTTCTGATGTAGGACAGAATGTTGGGAACCCCGTAGCAGTGCTGCCAGCAGGCGGTCGTCTTGTACATCTCCAGCAGATGGCAGGCGATCTTCTCCAGCTTGGCCTCATCGAAACGAAACTTGGAGGTTTTAAACGTTTCCTTGACCACAGTTTTCCACCTGGAAGAGCATTGCAAAGCACCAAACTATCACCTGGATGCGGGCGCTTACCAGTTCTGCCACCCCAGGCCGGTGTAGAGGCCGAAGTTCGGGTGTTCGGCGTTCATTCGTTTCCACTGCTCCTTGAAACTTCTGCTCAGAATGCTGTTCTCGGCCACCACGCCGTACATGGCCCCGATTTCTCCATACTGCTGAGCGGGCGCCGTCCGTAATTTCAAAAGCGTCCCCGTAACGTCGAACGTCACTAGACGGATCGCCGACAAGTTCATGTTGGCGAGTTTTACCGGAAACTGATCACCATGAAAGCAGTTCTATTGGCAATGGACAGCCGATCAGAACAAGAGCACACAAACACATTTTGTTTGCTAATGGAAACGCGTCCAGTTCTAATCGATGCAAAGGTTACCGTTGATATAACGTTCATACGCGCGGTGCTGTTTGCCGCTGATAAAGTGGCTATTTACATACATTGAGCTTTTTGGGGCGCACTCCCCATTTTGACCACAATCGCTGGCGCATGAAAAGTGCCCCGAACGCGGAAGACCTGCACTTTCTTCAAGGGTGAAGTTTCAAAATCATGCCCTAATTGATTTCGATTCGAGGCGAAAGACGACGAGACTGTTCAAATCGAGCCTCATTGGAGGAATCTTTGCAAAGCTCCCTATTCGCTGATTTGGATTAATTTCACTTATTCCCCTTAGTCTTAAGAGCAAAGCACCTGATGCAAGGGCGGATCCAGGGGGGGGTCATGGGGGTCATGACTACTATGGAATTTTGGCATAATCTTGCACCTAAGTGTTTGATATTCAAATTTCGCTTTCTGGGTTAAAACTACTCGAATTTCCTCACTCACGTTGTTACGACTGAATCGACTTTTCAATTCTCTATCCAACAATGCCAAAACGAATTCTGTGGCTCGAATGGTTCATGAGAAACTTCGAAAAAAGCAGCGTCATGTTCAAGTGGATTTTGCAACTCAAAGAAAACCAAGCAAATCTAAAACTTCTTGAATTCAAGCATTTTTTGAGAAAACTGCCAACATTTCCCCATCCATGGTTCACTTTTTAAAAAGGCCATTTATTTCTCTCTAGAATTATGTACAAATGAGCGTCGTTGCTCATTTTGCCTTCGAGATATGAGCAAAAACGGGACGGAAAACAAGGAATTTTAACATAATCTTGCACCTAAGTGTTTGATATTCAAATTTCGCTTTCTGGGCCAAAACTACTCGAATTTCCTCACTCACGTTGTTAAGACTGAATCGACTTTTCAATTCTCTATCCAACGATGCCAAAACGAATTCTCTGGCTCGAATGGTTCTTGAGAAACTTCGAAAAAAGCAGCGTCAT